GCTTTGTTCCATTTTTATCGCTACATACAAATGTTAGCTTAAATTTTGGCAGTGAGTAATATATCCAACTTATTGAATTCTCTACTGTAGTAGGCTCCGTAGATCACAAAAACGTATGGTTAACCTTCGACGTGATTATCAGCACAGCGTAATGGAACAGTGGCACAGCAAGTGTACCGAGAGATGCTTAAAATATAGTGTTCAAAAATATTTTGAATAAATATAAAACTTAACTTCGTGGGAAAGTTGCCTTGCAGCATGCCCAACCCAGAGGAACAACACCAAGCTAGGATTTCGCAAACAACATGATACATTCAAATTGTTAGAAGGACGGGACGGTTAGTTTGACATCGAAGAAGTCGAATGCGACTGTCCATGGCCGCCCGCGGCTCAGAAGCCCCCCGTACCACCCGTGCTGACTGTCTTTTACTGTCCGGACAACGCCTCCTTGTTTATCGTAGTTTGTTCACGTGACGCACCATAGCCTCCTCTATGCTCTCAAAGCCTGGCAGTTCGACGACGGAGCCATAGAGTGCCCGTACATTTGGAGCGCGAGGACTTGGTAGCACAGAGCATTTCCCGGGAAACCTGGTCGTCAGCGCACAGCTTTTTCAGTGGCGAGGACCCGAAACATGGTTTTCAAACCCGACGAGAAAAGGAGCGGTAGCGCGAGGAACGCGAAGAGCACAAGCGGACATTCCATCGCTCGGCAGAAGTGTGTTTCGGTGTCTCGCCGCAACGGGGCGCCCGTCACGTGGCTCTCCTCCCATCCGTCGTCTTCCGCTCGACCTTTTCAATTTCCGTGGCCGCTTCTCATGGCCTTCCGCCAGGCTCTGTCAGTATAGAGGACGCTACGGTGGCACGCATGAGGGCATATGAGGAAGCGGGTGTATCTCGAAACAATCCATTCTTATTTGAACCCTTCTCATTTGAACCCATTCGCAAAACGCCCTTCTCGTTTTAACCTTTCGCGTTTCGACCCTTTCTTATTTATACCCGTCTCATTGGAACCCATTCTCATTTGAACCCTTCTCGTCTGAACCCATTCGCAAAACGCCCTTCGCGTTTTAACCTTCCGCGTTTCGACCGTTTCTCATTTGAACCCGTTGTCATTTGAACACCGTAGTGAGGTATAGAGAAAGGAAAAACAGTTAAGGATGAAGGTTGAAGATGAAGCGAAGCGGCACCATCTCTTGCATAGCACATGAAACAATTTTCCTTATGCCTGCGTGCCACCCCGAGTCTGTTGACGTAGCTACGTGCTCACATGGTGACGTGGTTTCAAAAGTGCTAGCGCAGATTCGGTACTTCCTTTCTCTTCTGTCGCTGTATGTCGTAAGATGTCGTCGTGTGGAGCGGATGGATCATTGTGCTAGTCGTGTGTTATTGCTTATAATGGCCAATTCGGGTGTTCATTTTCCCTGAAAAAAAGTTTTCCCATATCTTCGGCAAGGGCGTTCGCGTGGTCAAAGGCTGGCGGGTGCAAGCTTTTCGGGTTGCGCTTCTCCGGCGTGTACCGGCAATTTACCAGCAGAAGTTTTCCCGAGCTCCAAGAGGTCGGGCAGCTTGTCTGCCAGTCTGTATCCGGTATCGTCACATCCGGATCGGGATAGGGAACCAAACGAAATAATGCTCGCTGAGGCGGCAAATAGCGGGTTCGAGTGGCAAACGAAGCCATCGAACAGGCACCTTTTTGTGCTCTGAGACAAGATAGCGAAAACAACGAAGAGAAATATAATTTATGTTTCAAAGAAAGTCAACATTTTTGGAAGAATTTATCCAGCCTGAGCAATGTATGTTTGCTCTGAGACACGGGCTGCATCATACATCACTTTATTTTACAACTCTGTAATAACAAGTTATTTCACCACTGAAAAAAAAAAGTATGCATAGTGATGCAGTTTGAAACTTGAACACGCATTACAATTTCAAGGAGGGTGGGTGAAATGAGAAGACTGAGGATTCCAAAAAAGGTACTAGAGAGTTTGAGTAGATCATTCCGATACCCCCGATAGCCCCGATAACGATACTATGCATGCGCAAGGGAGGCGGTGGCGGAGTATCGGGTATCGTTATCGGAGTCATGGGAACGATCTACAAAAACGCTCTACTAACAGTAAACAGAATATGGAAAGCGACGCTGGCAAGCCTTCGTGGCGCAACAGTTAATCGAAAATCCAAACGAAGTTTATTGAAATTTGACGCGCGTGCGGGCAGCACCACACTGATTTATACATCTGCCCCTTCATTGATTTTATATTTTAATATTCTGTCAGCTGTACGGACTGTGGTAATGCCAATATTTTGAAAAGTTTTGTGTAGCCGCTTCTGTTTACACACATCTCAAAGAGTCGTAGTTTATGTTGTTGGCGTATGCAGCGTGCTCATGGTACCATAGAATGATCGAAGAAGAAGTTAACAAAGCTCACTCGCGACCCAGTCAAATAAAAACGCCAGTTCATTGTGCTTTGCATTCGGGTGGAGAGGGTCACGTGATGCGCCGTTGGCGCGTTTTTGGTCCCCGGTGCCAGAGGCAAGGGCTCGAAGGCAATTAATTACCCGAATTCGCCATAAATACCGCAGAAAGATTGCGAGATCATGATGTTGGATCAATTTGGGTTCGAAATGAGAGAGGTTAAAATGAGAAAAGTCTTTCTGACAATGCTCAAGACCAGAAAGTATGTTTTGAGAAAATTTGAAATGAGAAAGGCTAAAATGAGAAAAGTCGTTTTGAGAAGGGTCCAAACCCGAAAGTTTGTTTTGAGAACGGTTTAAACGAGAAAGGAAGAAACGCGAAAGTTGTTTTGCGCTGGGTTGAAATGAGAAGGTAAAAACGAGAAGGTAGAAATGCGAACGGGTTCAAATGAGAACCACCCGAGGAAGCACTCTGGTAGCCACTAAATGGTGGCGCCATCTGGGCGCCCACAACTTGCTCAAGCTTCCTCATAGTTGAACGCAGGGTGTCGTCTATGATTGCAAGAACGACAGCCACTCCACCTCAAAATTAATCAAAATGTCTCTAAATAGGGAGACTTTTTGACCTTCGTATTTCGTAAAATAGACCAATCTCACTAAGCGTTCGGCGCATGCGTGATGCCGCCATAACTTTAGTTCTCAGGAGGCAGACAGCCGTGCACGCCAGGGCTCGTACCTTCTCGTGCTTTACACGCGCAGTGCTCCAGCGAGGTTGTCGCACGTGTAAAAAGACTGAAGTTCCCTCGATGCATTGCGGCAGCGGTGGCGTAGTCAAACTGGCTGGTGAGATCGGTATATTCTGCTGTCCACATTAACAAGTATGTACCAACTAAGTCAATAAAACAAAATCCCGTAACGATTATTTACACTTTCGACGTGTATAAGTTGACTGCAATCAAGTGGTAAGTCAAAGTATTAATGTGAAATATTTAAATATTTTGAACGTTCATTCGAAGAATTTTGGGTGAAATCCTTCGCGCATGATCCGAGATAATTACAACATCACATGAAATCGAACCTACACCGGTGCATGTCTTTAAACAACTTACCTAACTTTCTTTTCTCCTTTATACTTCACTCTTAGTCGCACCAAACTTCATCCTAACCTACAATAGGGCGCCGTTCGCTTGATGTTTTAACATCTGCGACATCAGCATTTACTGAATCTTGACCTAGCGAGCTGACACCAGTGTGATTCAATAATCCTATTTTTAGAGCTTTCCCAAATACCAGAAAAGGCATCTCCCATATTGGTATTTCTGGAAATTATAAACACTTCAATGCAAAAAAAAAAATCATTCTAAGTTGTGAAGATGCAATGATACCTGTATTTCCCAAATCTCGTTCAAGTGGTACCTTTAGCTAAGTGAGCATTCAAGGGTCGGAACGCGAAAGCGAGACCACGCGGATAGAAGGAAGGAAGCAACCACACGTATTTCTATCTTTCCATATAACCAGGTGTAAGTTTAAAACTCACAAATTCCTTGGCCGATTACAACGTACCAGACCCAATAGTGTGCTGTAAATAGCTCTTTTCATATAGAGTACCAGTGGTAGAGCGCTACCCATTCCCAGGAGTAAGGTAGTATGGCAGCCAGATTTGCTGTCTCGGCCGCCTGATTTTTACTTGCACTCAGAAAAATCTAGCCTGTGCAAATATTGATCGAAAGAACCGAACAAAAATTTGTCAAAATGTGGAAACCCCCTTTCGCACTTTGCTACTAGTATATACGTAAAACGTCTTGCTCAAAAAGGAACCTATCAAAAGCCTCCAAAGATCAGCAGACGATTGAAATAGCTGCTTCACGAGGGCTGGAAAACATGCAATCGAATTCTGCTACTTTACCTGGCAAATTTATTGCTAGAGGTGTGTCTTATGTTCAGGCGCCTCACATCGTGATTCGTTATTCGACGTTCTTATTAGCTAATGCCGGAGTACCATTGACTGTTGAGCGATTATTATATTCTTGGAACTTATAACTCCCTGAGTTTCTTAAGCTGTCCGCGACTCTTTTTCAATCGCTCGAGACAAAGACTTTCAGACTGAGCACGACATTGTGTAAACGGAGGTGCTTTTTTATGCCAACATTCTACATTCGCACAGACAGAGTCGGAAATGCTGCTCAATTAAACGGGGGTGGCGCACTCTAGCGCAGGTGGCACATAAAATAAACACCCATACATTACAACCAAGTATCTTCCACTTGTAAAAAAAATCAAAACGATAAAACATTTTTTACATGTTTTATTAATTTCATAAATCAATGAACGTAGTCTTTATTATATAAAGCACAATATTCGTATAAAAAAATACATTTTTTTTTTAATAATGCGTAGTTTGTACATCACAGTGTGCTGCAGAAATGTACTATTCTTGTTCGTTACGTGCTCGAGCTGGTGTCTGCCGAGTAAGAAAATAACTTTTTTCTTTTATTTGAAATAGCACTACGTGAGACACGTTTTAGTATAACGTGACAACAATTTTGAAGATTGCGATGCAACTAAATGCGATTCCAAGCGTTTACGAATTTTTCATTGTGTGTCCTTTGTTTTTGTGTGTTTTTTTTCCTGCCCTCATAGGCACCTCTATGAAGAAGCCACGTAAAGATGTGCCTAGTTTCAACTCTATCGCTCTTTTGTATCTTTTATTTTTATTTATCTTAAAAGTTAGGCTTCGTACGTCGGGTTTTGAAGATGATGTGGACATCAAGTTCATGGGATATGGCTACCGCACGTTTCTTGCTCGCTCAGTTATTGTCCTACACCTTAGCGTCTTTCGTCTTCTCCGTCGAGCACTCTGGTCTTTTTACATTCGCTGGCCAGTTACAGATGCTCTGGTCCAAGTCCCACACAGCTCCGTTGTTGCACCTAAGCTCTATTGGCTTGCCGTGAACGCACTGGTAAAACCTGAAAAAAAAAATGATCAGAATTTTTTTCCGATGCGATACGATGATTGCATATAATAAATGAACATGCGAAGAGAAATGTGCTAAGTCTAGACACGATAATGTTTCTGTTCGCCCGTACATTGGGCACATCTGCTTTGCACGCCCCGGAACTCGTAAATCATTACTTCTTTTAAACGCTTATAACACATAGTGTAGCCTGTCACCTAGTAGAAATTAAGACATTTTCAGCTGTGTATTCAACGTTTTGACATGCTGGGTAAGAGGCTACACTAAAAATTAAAAAAAAAATTAGGGAATGAAATGTAATCTTGCGCTCAATAAGCAGCGAATAATGCTCACGCAGTAAATCATTGCCCCGCGGCTCGAATTCAAAAACTCAATTCAATATGAATGTTGAAACTTTTTTTTTTTTTTTGCTAATGCGGTACCACAAAAAGAAAGTTTCTTAAGTACCCATTAATTTAACGAAGATATTTGTAAAAAGTAGACGAGTACGTTATGCAGCTTTATCAGCAACCGTAGCAGCTACATTTGTGCTTTCTTTTTCGGTTGCCATTGCAATTATTAGCGAGTTTATGTAAACCGGCTTTCGTGCGTCCGCTCCGCTCTATGGAGCGGCACAATCGCCACTGCGCATGCGCGGCCGCTCCGAGTTAGAGCGTAGCCGGCTGCGCACGCGCAATTGGCCAGGCTGGGAAAGTGAAAACGATCTACTAAGACTCCCTATTGTCACTAAGGTGCCTGGAGCGGAAGCTGGAGTGCGTCTCCAATTGCTGTGTTCGCCGCCGCGTCCTTAGAAGTGGTCCCTCGATTTCCGCCTCATGACGTCATAGGAGTGTCATGGCATAGCCTCCTCTATACGGAGAAGGCCAGGCACGTCGCTCAAAAAAGTGGCCGCCGAAAGTAGGAGAGGAGGGGCGGGGAATCGGGAGCGGAGGGAACCTTCTTTGCTAGCGCCACACAAGAGCGAGCGGAGAAACGCAGAAACAATTTTTTTTTTTTTCGGAATTGCGGAGAGGAGAAACTTGACGTCAACTCTTTCCCTTCGCCGTCCCTGCGCCGCAGCCGTTTCTCCCGGAGCACGAAAACGACGGTGACGAAAACACGAAAACAAACGTGGTTAGTGGAGCGGCCGCTCACGACCCAAGCGCTCGCGGACTATCTCTGCCCTTTCTGTTCTGCGCTACCATATTGGTCGCCGCTTCGCGCGCTCCTCCTCTCCTTTTTTCTGCGGCCGCGCTCCCTATGGCTCTGCCGTCGATGTGCCAGGCTTTCTCCGTATAGAAGAGGCTAGAAGGCTATGGTCATGGTTGCCTGGCATGATCCTGCCGGTGGTCCAACGGCGGAGGTGGATGTCACAAACGCCTGTTGTGCTGCAGGTTTCTCTGTAATCATACAGTCGCCGGGAGCCATGGCAGACAGGATCATATCGGACGCCGGGACGACAGCGACCTTCGCGCCCCCTCGCCTTTTCTGCCAGCATTTTTGCAACTAAGCGCCAGGAGCACGACATGCAACGGCATGAAACGCCGGTTCCTGTGACGCAAATCCTCGGCACTTCGGGACCAGTCTTTACGCGTGGGCGACGTAGGACGGTAAACACGCTAGTCGAAGACCCGTTCCCGGCATCGTATAGTGTCACCGACGCAGCGAGGGCTCCTTCGTGGGTGGCGCCGCACTTCCATCGTCTGGCCATAACAACCAATGGCGTTATCGCTGGAACTCGTGGTATTTGTCTAGGCACATGAACTATTTCACTAAGGTTTACCGACCCCAAAACAATATTCTACGTATGGCGATTCGGTCCAGTATGACCCAGGCACTCTTTTTTGTAACTGGGGCATGCAGGAGGCAACACCATCTAAAAGACGAGGTGTGCACGCTCCCTCACGACGTCATCGCTAGTGGATTCACGCAGCGCCGCCGAGCTTCAGCGTGTTTGCCGCTTGGAACGGATCGAGGGTCCACGAACGATGACGTCATACGTGGGCCTTTTCTTAAAAAGATTACAGGTATTGGTAGGGGCCGTACTTGGTGCAGTCGGTCTCGTGCGGGTAGAAGTCGAACGTGTTGTCCTCGCATTTCACGTGTCCCGGCGGGGGCCGAGGCCGGCGAGTCGTCGTGGTCGTCGTTCCTTGGGACACCGTCGATTTCGATCCCTCTGGAGCGCCTGGTTTCGCTCCCTCGGGAACGGTAGGGTTCGGGGCGGGCGCCGGGGCAACGTAGTCTTTGACGGACTCGTGGATGATAGTCATGAGCGCGTTCTTGCGGCCGCAATCTCCGCGGTAGTCGTCCATGTCGACCGCCCACACCATGGCACCGCCGTAGCCCTGCTCCTTGATGTACTTCATCTGAAATGTGGTTGCAGCTTTTTTGTCATTTATGACAACGAAACGACGTGTGCCAAAACGCCAGAAAATTACGACCCATAGTGCATGAATTTGGCCATATATGTTTACGTATTCTCCCCCTAAATATTTGAGAACATCGTCACACATTATTGTTTACCTTTTGTACGTTGCCTTTCGTCATACTAAAACCCGAGATGGAGGTAAAAAATAAAGGCAAACGCAAAATCTCAACGTAAATACACATACATACAAACACACGAGAATGCACGAAAGCACGCTGGTACGAACCTCCTGACGCTGTTTTCTTATGAGCTCCGATGACATGACGCTGTTTTTGCTCAACTATAGAACCAGGTCGCGTGCCTGTAGTAACGTCGCCTTTTATCTTCACCTTTCAACTCTTCAGGAAGGGGCAAGCTCCTTCTTGCCGTGGCTCATTCATCAATGTTCCACCTCCCCAGTGAGCGTTTTTCAAATTCTTCTATATAATAAAACATGCACCTCTCTGCCAGCAATCTATTTTTTTTTTTCTTAGGAAGTATTTAGGCGGTATCTGTTAGCCGTAATACGCGAACAGTGGTTGCTTGGTACTCCAGGCTCCGTAAAGCTAACGCTCCCTAAACACAGCTAATTTCTTGTGCAGCAGGGAGTATTCTTGTAGATTAGGATCACACCCCTTCCATCTCCGGTATTGTTTCTCTGAGCGTCTGTTGGGTCGCACTGGCTGTACAGTTAACTTATCGCGCTCGCCTGTTGCAGTTAACAAAGTTCGGCATAGCATTTCTAATTAAATGTCACACCTCTTTCTGACTCCGACTTCTGTTAGGCATTCCATGATGGTGTGTCAGCTCACAACGCAATGTATATTGGTGGTCGCTAAACAGGAAAAGAAAAAAAAAAACGGGCCTCAAATGACTAAATTTGGTCAGGTTAGTTTCGTTGCCATTAGTCATATTTCAGTTCTATCTCATTGTTAAGCGGTAGCTGTTTCCTTTTCAGTATACCTTGATAGCCACACTCTCCTCGTCCTCGTAGCCGACCCACTGGTTGTCCTTGAAAGCGTATGGACAGCGGCCATCTTTATCCCAACGCCTCGTCCACCCGTTTTCCTTCACGTTCTTGCACACCTGAAACAAAGGGGCGTAGAAACAATAGACTTCTCTATTGAAATTTAGGTTGTTACCGGTTTGATGGTTTTACGTTTAGATTTACTACTTTCTAACCTCAAACACGTGAAAGCTTCCTCACTATTGACATCATTGTAGTTCTGGGTCTAATTATAAGATATATCCATATAATGTGTTCTATCATGATACTATTGAAATTGCAACAAGGAGCGAGACGCTCCACATATTTTGTGAGATTAATGTAAGTGAAAGCCGCGTCTCTTACAGAATGGTTTGTTTGATATGGTCTGAATATTCAGCACTCATTTCTTATTAAAATTATACGAGGTTGGTAGGATGAATATGTTCGTCTAGCAAAACACGTACCACTTGACGGAGAAACTTTTGCCGCTACACCAAGTGAACTGCTGTCGGCCGTTGAAATTATACTTTGCCAAGTTATCAATTCACAATGATATCCAGTGTCTAGTCCTATTTTTCTCCTTGCTTTTTTTTCACTCTGAGTAAGCCATTATGACAAAAAACAGTCTATCTGAAACCGTACTCAGAAACGCCTTCCATAGGAAGGTTCTTTAAGTTTTAGCCATGACGGATTCGAGTGTTCTCAAAGATCGCATGAGAAAGACTCTGCCAAAGATTGCACTTGGAATACGCCATAAAACGACAGCGCTAAAAATCCCAACAAGTAGAATTAAACGGACACAACGCTCTTTGTTTAGAACAACTCCATTTGAGTCCGGATGATCCAACTTTGATGATAGTAGTACATTAATCAACAGCTATTTGTAATACGATTTTATTTTAATTATTTTTAATTTTATTCAAAAAAATATGACACCTCATTTAGTTGAGTCTTACCGCCGAATTCATAAACCTCACTCAAACTACACTCAAACTGAAGGGCCCCTCCACTTCCTCGACGAAGGCGCGAGGGCCGGCGCTGGCCAATTGCGACGGCGGATCCGTCCTCGCGATTGGCCACCTCCGGCCCTCGCGCCTTCCTCGAGGAAGTGGAGGGGCCCTTCAGTTTGAGTGTAGTTTGAGTGAGGTTTCTGAATTCGGCGGTTAATCTTCCTATCAAATGCGTACATCAAATCAAAAGTTAGCTTCGACGGTTTTTGCCTGCCACATCAACAAAGGTCACTTGGCACGCCCCAGTGGAGGACTGAGGATCAATTACGACGGGGATCTTTTGACGCGGAAGCGAACTCATGATTACACAGTGCCATCTCCGGCGTAAGCCTCCGTAAGATTGCGGGCACCTCAACCAAAATTAAAATCCGCCAACTGGCGGACTGGGATCTGCCAGTTGGTGAACTGAGATCTGTCGGCCGGCGCTTTGCCTCGTAGCCAGCGAGGCCTCGGCAACTCGTACCTCAAAGTATGCCTGGAACCCGGTCGCATTGGTGAACTCTCCCGGGGTTCCTCCCTCGACCCACTGGACGATGGGTGCGCGCAGCCCGTGGTTCTCCTTGCTGCCCAGAGTGTAGGTGCGGCCGTACAGGGGGATGCCCACGATGAGCTTGTGCTTCGGAGCCCCGCGACTCACCCACAGTTTGAGGCCGTCATCCTTCAAAGCAACGAAAAACGCCTTCTTTCATTTCAGAGTAAAGCATAGGTCGCGAGAGTGCCAGGATTTATCCCGATCCTCACGATGTGTTTTTCAAAATTTATGAGGTTTTACGCGCAGCTTTGAACAATGCGGCGGTCAAGAAGCACCTTCCAGTCGGGACTTCTCCGCAGGATCAGGAATCACGTTGTGCAAGCACACCCTCAACACAAAAGGGACTTTATGCGGTGTTGCGTCCTAACGTCAGTATATAAATGAGATTCAGACTTTGTGACGTTCTTTATTGTATTAAGATAAGGATATCTAAGGAACAATAGTGCAATATCGGGAATTGCAATGTATTTTTACTCCACATCATGACATTGCATGACGTGCTACCGGGACATAGAACAACTATAGCGAGAGAGTAATGGCGCCGTACTTAAGGTTTGTCATTGTCCTCGAATGATAATAAACGTAAAGGTATTTGCATACTTCGGATGACAATGACAAAATGACAGAATATACACCTCGCGAGAAAACAATGGTCAAAATAATACAGAAATATTAATCAAATTGCTAAAAAGCGTAATTAACGCATTAGAAAGGGGAAGTGTTTTTATTTGCATTTTTTATTTGTTTATACAGACAAACATCTTCGTGTTTCCAAAAAAATTTTCAAGAACTATGCTTGCACGTTGTGGAAGTCAATTTATCATGTCTTCTTCAAATTGGGGACATCCCCTAAATCATTGTATCAAAACAAAACAGACTATGTCAATGATACATCTTAGTTCCTAATTGTATCGAAGTAAAAAAAAAAAAAACAAATTACTTACGACATTGAGTTTCTCGTAAGCCCACTGGTCAAACGGCCGCTTGAACAGAGGACTGTGCACATCGGCGAATCCAGCCCAGTTTCCGCGAAGGTCGTACGACATGACGTGAATGTGGTCGAAGAGCCTGCACAGTTTCCATTTTGCACCAGTTATGTAGTATTTTGTGGTGATGTTTTTTTCTTTTAAATTGTTTCTGGAGTGGCTTTGAAACTCGGTAGTTGATGAATAACAAAATACGACTGACTAGATTGTTTACAGATCTATCAGGCTGAACGTTCCGGCAGGCTAGTATGCATGAAAGTATTATATATATAATACTTTCATAATGAAAAAATACGCAGAATTGCATGCTCCTCACTAACACCTCCTAGATATCTGCGTGCCTGGACTGCACACTGTAAAACTCTCCACCTCAAGATACCTTGATGCATTATACCCTGGGACAATTCGAGCGTTCTTTAGTCATTATCTACAGCGCTACGTTTGAAACATTGCATATAAAATAAAAATGTCAAAATGATCTTGACCGCAGCACAATCACACCGCCAAACACGCGGAAACGAGGTCGTTTCTGTGTGTTCACTTGTGAACCCCTTATCGTTCGCGAGGGGCAGGGTCATGGTTACGCTGAGCTGGGACCCTCTGTGTAAAAACTTTGTAGCCGAGTTTAAAGGAAATAATAGAAGCTTTACGCCCGTTTCTGGTTGAAAGCTATTTTTTTTTTCCTTCGTGTTCTATTTTCGTCTGTTGTCTTGAGGTATTGTTGCCTCTGGTGACTCTTGTGACAGCGATGGAGAAAGCGTGTACAAAAGAAGATTTGTTGCTCAGTTTGAGACGTTGCCATTTCTTTTTCTGCCTTTCTTCGCGTTTTCCGCTTTTTTACCCCAGTCTCAGGTTTACTACCGTGTTCAGACGAAAGACATTCCAGTATACCCATAAAGGGGCGGGAACTACAAATTTGACTTGCTTGGCCAGCTGTTCGACCTCGTATCCCTCGTCAAGCCTGAACTTGGCGACAGGTACGGCGCAGGTCAGCAGGAGCTTGTGTTCGTCGAAGGCTACCCGAATCTCCTGCAATGGGAAGAATGCAAAAACGAAAAGCTTGCTTACCAAATTGGTATCTGATTTATATTGTGAGCGTAGCGCTTCCCACTGTCCCAAATAAGCTACAAGTGGCTTAAGTTCGGCGATCAAAAAATTTTAAGGACACCTCAACGAAAACATTGCATATCAAGATATAGTAAATTTAGACGGATTAAAATTCGTTTTGTGTTTAATTATTTTTATATCATTTTTTTTCTAAACATATTTTTGAACGGGCGTAATTCTTTTAGCTCGTTTATGTAGGTACGCCTCCACTCACCTAAAAGGAAATCGATGATTTCGCCTTCTATTATAGAAAATACGAGCCGTCGCCTCATATAAAAAAATTCAGTTTTTCGTACCGCAAAACTAAATCACGAATTGCTGAAAACTCCAAAAATCGCAATCAGTTTTTAGCAGTTCGAATAAAACACGAACGTTTCAAAAGTTAACGTTATCTGACTTCAACGTTAAAGACAATGCTCTCACACTTTGATTTACAAAATAAAAATTCACTTCTGGTTGCATAAATTATTTATCCGCAGTCTACAAACATTACCGAGTTCTCTTACACCGGGTGCGGGCAGTACGCGAACGCAAAAGTCAGATTCCCGCGAGGTCAAGCGTCTACGCATGCGCAGTGCCGACAGCAGCGCCACCGCTGCCGCGTGACTTTAGTAAGTCTCACTCGCAGTACACCCGAGCTCATCTGACCGCCATTTCCAAATCAAGAATGCCCGAAACTTATTATATAACGATTGAATCCAATAATACTGAGTTGCAAAAAGAAAAACAACTTTGATATCCTTGTCCCAACTGCTGCCGCTATACATTCGCACGGAGTCCGAGATTTCGGCAATGCGTAGTTCAGTGTAGCGGTACAAAAAACGCGGTTCCCTTTTTTCGGGGTTCACACCACGGTGGGAGTAAGAGGTGTCGGAACAACATCAGAAAGGGGGCCGATATTCCACTCAGGCTGGGCGCATCTCCCGGCAATGGCTCAGTCGGATTGGGACTGCGCGCGGCCTTGAAAACGTGTGCACCAACAAGGACGGTTCCTCGAGCACCTGTCACGTTGCGCCATCTTACGGCATTTGTCAAAAATGGAAGCGAGCCTTCGACACACTTGCTCCGTGGTGAGGCGGTGTCGTTCTGATGACTCTCGCTTCCTCCACCGTGGTTCGCACCCCATATTTATCTCGCTCGCCGCCATGTTGCATTGTGCACCCACCTTGACCAGCTCGAGGAAGTTCTCCTTGTCCGAGTACTTGCCCTGCCTGTCTGACGCCCCCGGATACTCCCAGTCCAGGTCGAAGCCGTCGAAGCTGTACTTGAGCACCCATTCGAGGGCGCTCTTGACGAAGGTCTTCCTCTTGGCCTTGTCGCTCACCATCTCGGAGTACTTCTTGCCGCCCTCGTCCCAGCCGCCAATGGCGAGGAGAGTCTTCAGATGAGGATGCTTCTTCTTGAGGCCCACGAATCGACGCAATCCGTCTGCGAAAAAAATCGTCAGTGATCAGGGGTGACCAACACGCGGCCCTGACATAGTCATAGTTACTACGGCGCCTTTGAAAAAGGACCTTTCGGTGCATTTTCCCTCGAATAACGAGGAGATAAGCAAAAATATTCTGATAATCGTTGAGTCTTGGATCGGCTAACCCTCACCTAGAGATTCTAGATTTAACAGAGGAGGCAACTCAACCCACGGAGAGCGTTTGCAATTTCATGGCGGACACCTCCTGCGCAGGTTGAGTGCCCGTGCACATACGTGAGTTGCTGCGTTTGGAAGACGCGAGCAGGCGGAGAGGGTGAGCAAACGTTGGAGACGCTTGCGGACGAGCAACGCTCTCGGCTCCTCCTTGCCTTAAGAAACAAATTGAAGAATTTTAGGCGAAATTCGAACCCAGAAACCTTCGGTCGCGAGCCAAACACGCTTCTGACTAGGCCATGCAAGGCACGGTTGCACGGCCTGGTAACAAGCGGTCTATATGTTTGTATGATTAGCTATTGTGTTACACTATTAAAGGCGATGCTGAAGCGTCCTCCAAGTTTTTATCTCTTCAAATGCACGTAGGAATACCTGCAGATATATCCACTGGTTGATAGTGTAGTTGGTTTAATAGGATTGTTAAATCAAGGCCATAAGATTGTTAAATGAATTATGAATTACTTTATAAAGTGCAATTCTTTTAGACATGTGGTTACCTTTAATTCGCATTACATGTCACCTTTTAATCACTTTCATACCACGCATGACGTCACGTTTCACGTGAGCGTTTTGGGTTGTTTTGAAATCCCAACGCGAGGTCATGTGGCTGTAATGTCGTGACCCTATCAACCAATCAGGATTTTCGCGGCACGCCACCGATTTTCTGTGACATCAGCTCCTTAAAGGGATGCTGAACCGAACATTTCAGTGTCTATAATAAATGACGCACTACTTTTTCATGAGTCAGCAGCCGCCGGTGTGCGCGAGCACACGCAACGAAATCGACGTCATCATATCCACCATTGAAGCTTATTAAGCGTGAATGGGGGATATGATGACGTCAATTTCGTTGCGTGTGCGCGCGCACCGGCGGCTGCTGACTCATGGAAAGATAGTGCGCCACTTATTGTAGACATTGAAATGTTTGGTTCAGCATCCGGCCCTTTAACGAGGTCGCGTTAAAACGCATTCCCGCTTGTTAACGAAGATCTGTCGCTTAGGAACGCGGAGTGTTATCATTATCAATCTTGAGGCCTTACTTAGCGAATCGCCTAAGGTCGTTCGTGCCTCAGCTGTCCATTGCGTTATATAGGGAGGTCTAGGGAGATCACGGTCAAACACACAGCGAGTGTTTTTTTTTTTTTTTTTGTTCTTTTACGCTGTTGTTGATTATATTGATGACTCAATCAGGAGAACCCGGTGGTACAACGTTTTGTGCCCTTATGCCAGGTTGGCACGAGGCATTGCTCGTTCTATTAATAATTATTCGCGGCAATTCTTCGTGGCGTATAGCCCCATAGCATGTATGGTATTTACCTTATCGTAGTGCCAAGTTTCTCACGCAATTAACTCGACAAGGTCGTTTGCAATATATTGAGCTTCAACACCGATGCCCTTTGAACTAGGCAAAACTTGTCAGTCGACACTTGTCGTATCTCTGTGTTTTGTCTTGAAAAAAAAACTGTTTACGCGAGATAGCTGAGTAATATCGTATTTATTCATTAGTCAAGCATGCACGCGTGATTGCGAGATTTTAGACTATATTTAGCTGCTTGGACGTTTGATCCAGGATCTGGTCATTCCGTGTGTATATGCGTCATTAGATTTATTTGTTTACACACGTTGCTCCAAAATCCCACTTAACACCCCTCCACCCTATGAATTAACCGATGTTCCAGCAAGTATATGCTAAATATTAATGTTTTCGAAAACAAAGCAAAAAAAAAATCTGAATGTTTTGGGAGTGTTTTTGAGTGATATAATATCTAACAATGTACTCAGGATGGCATATCTTGTTATATCAATGATACGCTGTTTTTGAACACGTCCACGTGTGAAAATATGTACTCGTGTAAATTTACATTATTGCTTATGAACGATAGACGTGCGTTGAGCACTATTCATTTAAACCCAAATAATCGCTCTGTTTCACTGAACTGCAGTAAACCAATACTTTTTTTTTTTTTACTGTCGTGATCCTCAACGTCGAAGAACGCACAAAGATTTTATTATTGCAGGGTTCCAGGAGGGAACCGAGTTCACTCTAACACCACTCTAATTCATCGCTTTTTATACACCTTTACAGTTGAGAACCCTTCTTCTGACTCCCGAGAAATGACTCTTCTGGAAGTCTCAGAATGATACCCGATGATTTATTTGCAATCAAGCCTACAAAAACTGAGCTCCAATACAGACGAAAACAATGGTGAATTATTTTTTTTAATTAATTCACCATAAAACACTTTTCGGCTCGCCTACAGAGTCACTGTTTGTGCGGTACACCGTCCCATCAATGATGCCTGGTTTTGCAAGCAGTAACTGCCTATCCTGTAAGGTGCTTCCAGTAGAAGCAGCAATCAGAACCGTAGTAGTTTTTTTTTTTTGTACTATATTGATTTGAGTTTAGGCCGGCAATAACAACCGCTTTTTTATCCATTAATGTCGTGTTCTCTCTGTTAATTAATAACCGACTCATTTTGTTAAAGTCGCGTTCTTTGTGTTTACGCTTTAACAAGGCTTCTGAGACTGCTTATGGTCAAGTGGTTAAAAATGCAGGTATCGGTTTCGGCACCATTAAAGTCAGTAGAGAGTTTTCGTAGATCGTTCCGATACCTCCGATAGCCCCGATAACGATACTATGCATGCGCGAGGGAGGCGGTGACGGAGTATCGGGTATCGTTATCGGAGTCATGGGAACGATCTACTAAAACTCTCTAGTGATTCGCAGCGCGCTCTCTCAAAGTGGTATATCGGAAAAGGCGGTCGTCGAATAGGCAGTCGCTTTTACGTCCTTAATACCCACCCCCGATCCAGTGGTTGAGTATATCCCACCACGTGAAGCTATACTTGAAACGATAGCGACTAGAACAAAAAGTTAGTGCGCAAGCGAGTTGGTGTTGGTTGAACATGTTGGACTAAAACCCTCAGAGTAGGAAAAACGAAGGTAGACATGAAACAGAAAACACCTCTGTTTGGTGTCGTGCCCCGTCTCCCTAGTCTCGAGGTTTCAGTCTATTTTGTTAAGCCGCTAGGACATCGCCCATTCGAAAAGGTTGAACGTTCGTCCGGCGATGTCAGCAGGCTGGGGAGCGCTGCGCGGAGGAAATGTGGGACATCAGTCCAGGTGCATCTGTATATCCGGCAGTTTTTGTACGGTCCCATAGTCCAGGTGCATCCAATATCCGGCAGTTTTAGAGCGCAGCTCTTAGGGGCCCGTTTCCGGCTTGAGCGGCGTCGGCGTAACCGCGCGGTGCATTGTGGGTAAATTTCCCCGCTAAATCTAGCGGAAAAATTTCTCCGCTAAATCTAGCGGAAAAACTTCCCCACTAAATATAGCGAAAAATATTCCCCGCTAAATCTAGCGGAAAAATTTCCCCGCTAAATCTAGCGTGAAATTTTCCCCGCTAGATTTAGCGGAAAAAATTCTCCGCTAAATCTAGCGCAAAAATTTTCCCACTAAATCTAGCGGAAAAATTTCCCCGCTAAATCTGGTGGAAAAATGTCCCCGCTAGATTTAGCGGAAAAAAATTCCCCACTAAATCTAGCGGAAAACTTTCCCCCGCAAATCTAGCGGAAAATTTTCCCCGCTAGATTTAGCGGGAAAATTCCCCGCTAAATCTAGCGGAAAATTTTTCCCGCTAAATCTAGCTGAAAAATTTCCCGCTAAATCTAGCGGAAAAATTTCCCCGCTAAATCTAGCGGAAAAACTTCCCCGCTAGATTTAGCGGAAAAAATTCCCAGCTAAATCTAGCGGAAAAATTTCCCCGCTAAATCTAGCGGAAAAAATTCTTCGCTAAACCTAGCGGAATTTTCCCCGCTAAATCTAGCGGAAAAATTTCTCCGCTAAATCTAGCGGAAAACATTTCCCGCTAAATGTAGCGGAAACATTTTCCCGCTAAATCTAGCGGGAAAAATTCCCCGCTAAATCTAGCGGTAAAATTTCCCCGCTAAATCTAGCGGGAAAATTTCCCCGCTAAATCTAGCGGAAAAATTTCCCCTAAATCTAGCGGAAAAAATTCCCCGCTAAATCTAGCGGAAAAAATTCCGCGCTAAATCTAGCGGAAAAAATTCCGCGCTAAATCTAGCGGAAAAATTTCCCCGCTAGATATAGCGGAAAAAATTCCCCGCTAAACCTAGCGGAAAATTTTTTCTGGGGGGTCACGTGGCCCCCCCCCCCCCCCCCCGCCCGAGGTCACGCGACACCCCCCCCCCCCCCCCGCCCCGAGAACACGTGACCCTCAGTACCCTTCCCTCCTCCTCCTCAAGAGCTGCGCTCCAATTCGGTGTTACAGGAAGTTGTAAACGGCTTTCATTTTTTTGTACGGTCCCATAGCTCACACTGCCCTTAGCCTCCCGTGTTTCGACAATATAAAAACCCCAAAACAAAGAATTAAAAAAAAACGTTATTTTTGTTTTAAATATAAAATCAAAAATGTATGTGCTCGTTTTTTTTTTTTTTTTTTTTTTTTTTTTTTACATTCTGTTTAGTTAAACGAATCTGTCGGCGTAGATCCCCGAGGAATAAAAGCGCGGACAAAGTGTAGGTTTTATGCTTTCGTTTCCTCGAGTTATGGAGGGTTTTGGCCGTTCCTCTGAAGCACGAAAGAAACCGGCTCATGTTAAGAACTAAAACGAAACTTGCTACTTACCTTGCTTGTTGTCGAAGTCCTCGTCGATGTTGTTGACGGTCCAGGTTTTGTTGTCGAGGCCCACGAAGGAGTAAATGAGGTGCGAGCACAGGTCCACGGGGATGTCTTCGATGTCGTACTTCATCGGCTCGGGTCGCTTGTACGCCCACGTCTGGTAGTAGCAGACCACCGTGCCCCGGGAGCCCCCGCCGTTTTCCACTTTCTTCGAGACTGCAGATTCAGCAGACGAGTTTTCAGCACTAGGAGGGACTCCCACCATGCAACATATTTATCCCACTGTAGATACTACGGACAAATATTCAATAGCACCGGAAAAAAAAAAAAGTTTATTCCTGTGTGTCACTTGTAAGAAATAACTCGAATACACTCATAAACTTCTCTGTGCATGCAACTGATTTTTTTTTTTTCACGCGCCTTTGTGCTTATACGGAGCAAACTTGATGAGGGACGAGGAGGTTAATATGTAGAGGCCTAAAAAAGAAGCCTGCCGTGTGACACGTTACCAGGACGCTTTACGTGTATGGGCATTCTCAGCGTCATATCGCAGACTTGATTTTTACGCCAGAACAGAGTTTATTCCGCGTCATTGGTCGAGTTCTCTCCGGAGATCACTCGCGAACTGGCTATTCGGGTACTCTGCGCGAAAGTATAGGTGCACGGGGACTTTTAAGAGTGAACAAGAGGGCGTGACGAGTCCCGTACATCTTTATATACATTAGCTGATAAGATCGGCGAAGATAAAATCACTAGCTAAGAAGTGTTAAAATAATATCCCACGCCATGCGTTTCGGAAACTGTCAGTAATTATAGAACCTCTCAGTGATCGTACGAACACCGGAAGAAGCTCCGCCCACAAAACACGATTTCCAGCTCAATGCTGAATGCACCTCGGCCCTTGGCCATTAGGTGGAGCTTCGTGCTTTATCGCGCCAACCTCAATAAAAAAAGAAAAAAAAACCTTGACAGATACTGTATGCTCCTTCTGCTTGATGACGTCAGGAAAACAGTGCGTTCTTACTGAATGATGCAGTGACGTCATTTGTCTCTGGAAACTCGGAGGTGGAGCTTATTCTGGAGTTCTCATGTTTCACAAGGTCTCCTTGTACTACCATCTTCGTTTCTTGGCTAATAACTGTGCTCCGAGTGTTGCGCAATAGCTCTCCTCTGCAAAACGTTCTTCACCACCTGTGCGTCTACACTGTAAAAAGCCTGTGAGTTCACTTTCCCGCAGAATATGAAGGCAGTCAATCACGGCGGGAAATAGAAAGATTCCAGCGAATGACCAAACTCAATATAGGATTAGACACAAAACAAAATACTGAGAAATTCACTGGGACAATGAGCATCGTGTTTCGTTTTGTCGTTGTCCCTCCGAACAGTACATATTTTTGTTCGGTTGAATCGTATTCTGGGGTTCGTCATTCACTGGCGTTCATTCATAGTTAATCGTGATTGACCATCTCCCCGTTCTGCGGCGAATTAAACTCGGAGGATGTTTTTAGACAGTATCAAGTCCCGTAGCCGAGCTCATGTTTCCTGTCTGATAAGATTTGAACAAAAATATCTAAACGGTGCTTTGAGAACCTCTTACCGTCATAGCCAGACCGATTGCTAAACGTAAGACAACGGAACAGAAGAAAACATTGTGACCGAACTAAAGAATAGTTCGGACAGTACCGTTTAACTGTGTTTGACCACGTTGCGGAGGCTTACACTGCTATTGTCGAAGCTCGACGTAATATACGTAAGCCTCGCAAAGTTATCAAACGTAGTTTAGATCTGGTATAGTTTAGTTTTGATAAGATTGTTTTGTTTGTTTTACCACTAAAAAGAGAAAGATCGGAAACTGATGTGAAACGCTAATGTGTGAATCGACCTTTGCATCAATGCCATTAGGCTGAGCATAATGCCTTAAATGTTTACTTCGTACAGGCCGCGCTGCATCTTGAACCTGATTTTTTTTTTTTTTAAATTGATAGTTAGTCCATGTCCTTCACCATATATTGCCCTCCGCTGATCGCCATCACTATTCGGGCGTGGCTTGCGGGCAGGTAAAAAAAACGGGCATCACTGCAGTTTATACCCTCTAAGAAATGCCTGCGCGTCTACTTACCCACTAAAAACTCAAAGAGCCAATCTCTGCAATCACGAAATCAGCTCAGCGAATGATGAGGCGGAACATCCGTTTAGAGCTGAAAATGAAGTTTGCGCTGTGGCATTATGCGATGCGAAGCGTCATCAGATTGTATGCGTTTCTTCTTCTATTAAATTTTGTTTAAAAAAAAAAGTAACGAGTGTGAAGATTTTTTTAAATATTTAATATCCACTATTAAATTACTTCTATTTCATTTTTCTTATAAAGCTTATCGCGGAGGATTTTTATTTTTATTTTATTTTTTTAACCTAAGGAGCGTAGGTTCAAAAATCTTCGCTCCGTAGGTTTTTGCGAATTTTCTTCCAATATTCGGAAGAAAACACTAAACGTTTTCAGATGCTCTTAGACCCACGAGTCAATCGTTCTGCTCATTAACAACAAATAGCCCTCGCGGTTGTCTCTTCCAAGCGCTTTGCGGGAAAGCAGACGCTTCACATCATTTCAAGTGCAGGTCGAATATCGAGACCAAATATTCCGAGCGTCGACGATAGCGAAAGTCTCTTACATGCCACCAATCAACTACAACGAAAGAACGCTACCGATCAATCAATCAGCCACCCTCACCTCTCACCGCCACGTCCTTGTGGCTCGCCGCCGCCGCGCCAGCAGCCAGCGCCGCCAGGGCCCAGACCAGCCTCGAGATCGCCATGAAGGTTCCTGCACGGACAGCAGCCGCAGAACCAAAACGTCTTTCCGCACGAACTGCGCAACCCTTTTATAGGTCGATTGGCTTTCACGCAATGACCCGTTACCCGGAGTGGGAACGGATGCTTCGCGCCGAGGATATTTTTTTTTGGCGGAGCTCTCCACCGGCGTGGATGTACGGAGAGGATCTGGTCGGGAGGAAGCATAGAACGAGGACAGCCACTTCTGAATCGCAGATTTTTTTTTTTTTTTGCGCTTATTTCTTGTTTTTGCGCGTGGCTAGATTATTGCGCATTGTCCTCGCCGAATTCAATGGCCGCCGAAGGTGTTTTGTACGCAATTCGCCCCGTTCCTCTGGACGTGACTCTCTCTCTCTCCCTGTCTCTAAGTTTGCGCGTGTCTGCGATAGGTTATGTATAGGGCTCACGTAATCTCCGTTCATTAGTTTTCGGTTATTAAGGCACCCGATTATATATTTGATTTTGTTTCTATACTCTCCGGCAATCTGGAGCAAAGGTAACCCCAAATCGACTCGACGGCTAGGGTGAGGAGAGGGGGAGGGCGCAACATTGTACGCTCTGGGTGGATCGCGGGGTAGCAGAGTTTGGGAAGCGCCGGTTTAGGGTATTAGCCCATAAAAACGCCGATGAAAGGAATCACGAAAGGAAAGAGCGTAAACGTAATGAACCACGCCCTTCGTTTTTTTAAGATATGAGTGACTATAGTAAGAAATACGATCCGCGCTGAGATGTGTCCCCGTTTTTGTGACGTCTCAAAGATAGTGCATCAGAGCGTACACTTTGTCCACTTGTGTACAGCGTTCTTTTAGCGCCTTTTTTCTCTTTTTTTTCTATTTTCTGACCGTAGTACCAAGGCGGATCGCATTTCTGGGTCACAACGTTTTCAGCGTTTGATCGTTCGCGGCACTCCTAATCTGTACTAGATGCGTGCGACCAGCTTTATAACGTGCATTAGGGGAAAGCGAACATGCACCGTCACTTTGTTCGGATTCGTGCAGCGTCCAAGCCCCCAACGTCACTGACAACGTAAGAAGCGCAGGGCGTGGCTTACTCTCTTCACGCTTCCTGATTGGCTCTTCGACATCGGCGGATGCCGCATTCTCATTGGCTGCGGAGGGATAACAAAATGCTCGGTATACGCACGCCCCGCTTTTCTTAAAACTCTACGGCGAGCGAGCGTTCGAAAAATGCGTCTTGAGCGGATCGGAACGCGAGCAACACCGATTGAGAGGCAACGCAGAGAACGCGTAGAGAGAACCGCGCACAGGTGAAGCAACCAAACTCGCGTAATCACTGGTTCAGGTGTTTTTTGGGGGACAAGCACACGTGGTGCGCAAAACACAGACAAACTTGCAGGCCGTACATATAGTAGTCCGGATCCTCTAACCTATTATCTTCATATCCCGCATGTTGCTAGAATTACTTTTGCCTCGGATCCCTCGAATCCCTCTGGAACATCGCAACATCAATTAATCTCGACCCGAGTATATTAACTGGCTAACGTCATTAAGAATCAATCAATAAACTTTTCTAAAATAAATAGCAGCGGGCAATTTCGCTCAGATTGTAACCTAAAACTGAAAAAAATATATAATTTTTCTTTTTTAAGTTTGAATTTTACCTGAAGCTTAAGGTATGTCTCGAAGCTGCGCCTTCTTCGAAGATACGTAATAAGTAACTGTCGTGACTGTGGTAGGCCTCCCATTTATTACGCGGAAAGCCAGCATAAGGTCGTCGACCCGTTCGCGATAACAAGTTCGTTTACATATCGTAACGATGTGTCTCACTTCAATGAGCAAAGAAACAACAGTTCGAACTGCGAAAAGCTCCGTGTAATGAAGCGCCGATGAGGTCGATTTGCAACAGCTTCCAAAGTGAGGTTTCGACAAAAACCAAATCTGCTTACTCGGACGTGTGTACAGACGATCTCTTCTTATGCGCAAGTTTTAAGAGTATACGTTTTACGATTTTAGAAATTTAACGTTCGCTTCCCGGATATATATGCACGTCTGTTTTTAGATAGCCTACATCGATAAGAAACGGTACACCTTTCCAGCGCTTATCGGCCAGGCAAACAATGTCGAGTCACGAGGCTGTAGACCCATCCGAGGCGTCTGATACTGCTCATGCACAGAGCGGCTAATGCGCATGCTCGGAACACCTTTTCGTGTCGGGTAGATAAAGAAGGCAGTGCGCAGAAGGTGATTATCAAAATGGTCTGCCATAGAACACGAGGAGAAATTGGAGAAGGTCGCCCTGCTTCCAGCGATGTTCTGTCATTCTTGAAATGCGATGGCCACTCAAAACACTTGCCTCATCTTGATACTTTTTGACATAAGCCTGCTGCATCATTTCAAAGTTAATTGTTTTAGATTTGCCGAGCTTGACGTAGAATTAACGTTCGCTGTTGCTCTGGTTTGCGATCCACGGTGAAATCGCCCTAGTCCTCGTGCACGTGGTCACAAAAGCTCCCGTAGCGCAGCCTCAAATGTCCACAGAAGGACGCCCTTTGACATAATGAGACATAAAGGTTTCTGCCTTCGACAGGTCTGCGCGCATCACCTTGCTGCTCTCTTTTTAAGCTTAAAAAAAAATCTCGATACTGTTTGATTGCAGGTCGGGGGGATCGGTGTCCCGAGTGGGCTCGCACACCGGCTCGTAGCACGTGGAGCGAAAGCTCGCGCTGCAGAACCCAGGTACCCTGGGTTCAATATACCGATCTCACCAAGCGTTCCACGCATGCGTGAAGCCGCCATAACTGTAGTTCGTAGGAGGCAGATGCCAGTTCACGAGGCAGCTCATGCCGCCTCGTGCTCCGCTCGCGCAGACCTTCAGCAGGGTTGTCGCGCGTGCAGAAAGACTACAGCTCCCACGATGCATGTCGGCAGCGGTGGCGTACTCCAACCAGCTGCTGAGATCGGTCTATTCCCGCGGCCCTACCATTTCGAACTGGATGAGCATCGTACGTACAGCAGTATATCACTACTGCGTGGTGCACGTTAAAGCCCCAGGCTTGTGGTTGTATTGCGCGGGCTAAATTGCTCATCTACAGCTGAGAGACAAGTCGCCCATTAAAACTGACTACGTTCAGGCTGTATAAACGTACGCACACCCCAATTATTTGTTTTGATCACACCTTCTACACCCTGGAAGACAGTAAATATTCTTGGTTTATTAGCTAAGAACGCCGAAGCAGGAGTCAGAAAGCAAGTAGCGTCAACATAATAAGCCATGCCCTTCTTTAGTTGTCACCGCGAGAATGAAAGTGGACAGAAACGAAAGAAACGTATCGTTCGTGCACATCCAATTTTTTTTTTCTTAGAACAAATCCTAAATTATCTTTACTCTCGAAGCTTTGTGCCATCCATACACACAATACTAATAAAACAAAACATAAGGTACGTGTAAGTCGTGTCTTTTGTCCATATTCGCCAGCACACCGACGTGAACACCCGCTCTGGTTTTACCTACACTCCGTGTTTCGATAGACCTAATTAGGCAGCGTCATGGTTGTGTTAAAACCAAATTTATCAAAATTTAAAAAAGAAGGGGATGATGAGATTTTAGGCTAGGTGGCGCAAGCTGCCGTCCGTTACGAAGGGTATAGACATTACCATCCATCCATCCATCCGTTGTCTTTGTGGGCTCGTTACTTCCGACTCAACCAATCACGCGTAGAAAAAGGCGCAAGATTGCGGCGCATGCACTGTGCGTGATTCATTTTAGTCGGTTATAGCAGCTTGGGGGTCAACAGATCCATCGTGCCGTTATACATCCATCGAGCAATTGCGTCGAATTACGTGCCATTACATCCATCGTGTCATCACATCCATCCAGCAGCTTCGTTCAAAAGCGTGCCATTACATCCATCGGTCACGCAGGTTTATTTTTTTTGTTTGACTATCCTGTATGATTCTGTATCGAAGTTGCTTCATCGAATGCCACTTCTAGCGATTGTCAAGTCATCGAACGCCGTTTCATTAAACGCAAATATTTTCTTCATGTATGTTTTCTTTCTTTCTTTGATTTCAGATTTTTTATATTTTCAGGGTGGTTCTAACCAACCTCCAGCGTTGTTTTAAAGCAGGAACACGACTCGCGGACAGTTTATCGGATGCTGCGTTCTGGGTCGACACAAAAGGAAGCTCTAAACCAAGATTTTCTTCCCGTTCAGCTCGATTGTTTCTTATTCGAGAGCAGCTCCAATTCGAGGTTTATACGTTTTCAGCGATTTTGACAGAACCGCCTCGGGGGTTACTTTTCGGGGTTTATCGGCATTTACAAAAAATACTGAACCCTAATTATAGCAAACGGACAAAGGCGATGAGCCCGGTGACGAGGCGCGGCTTGATTGCACTTATCCCATCGTAGCGTCGGCTGCAATCGGGCTTACAGCGAAACGGACCATAGAAACCTCGCGCTCATTCCGTAAACATAAAAACTCAGTCTCCTTCTCCTTCCCTCCCCCCTTCCCTGAACCCCCCCCCCCCCCCCCACATAAAAAAAAAATATTGATTTGTGTGGAGTAGCGTCACCTAAATAGAGAAAACATTATCGCTCACGACTCGTGATTCGGTGCGCAATCAACCGTACTAGTTTTAAAAAGCCCTTATCAGCGTGTGAAATTAATCAGTTCAAATCTCGCTATATAGCGCTATCGCCAATAGCATTTGGTAAACTCAGATACTGGCTGCTCCTCTTTTAAATGCCTCCCTTCCAGGCGCACAACTCCTCCCCCTTCCAATTTAAATCAACCGCCTGTGAGCTCTTGCAGCCGCACGGGCCAATAAACATACCCGCAGCGTACCACGTGACCATGTAATATCGGACGCGACAATGTGGTGAATGTACGGCCACGCTCAACCTTTCCGTTGCTGGACCGCTTTAGATGTTTGTTAGCATTCTCAACGGTCCGCTTGAAAGTGGGACACGGCATATCATATTGTATATACCGAGTCCGTAAGAGGAAATGAAACCCTGTTTT